TAGAAAGAGTCCAGCGTAGGGCTACAAAGATGATTCAAGGATTGGAGCATCTCCCTTATGAGGAGAGACTGAGAGAGCTGGGACTCTTTAGTCTGGAGAAGAGAAGGCTGAGGGGAGACCTTATCAACGCCTACAAGTATCTCAAGGGAGGGTTGAAGGAGGAGGGAGCCAGACTCTTTTCAGTGGTTCCCAGTGAGAGGACGAGGGGCAACGGGCACAAGTTGGAACATAAGAGGTTCCACTCAAATATGAGGAGAAACTTCTTCACGGTGAGGGTGACGGAACCCTGGAACAGGCTGCCCAGGGAGGTTGTGGAGTCCCCTTCTTTGGAGATTTTCAAAACCCGCCTAGATGCAGTCCTGAGTAACGTGCTCTAGCTCTGGGCAATCCTGCTTCAGCAGGGGAGTTGGACTAGATGATCTCTATGGTCCCTTCCAACTCTAGAAATTCAGTGAAATTCAGTGAAATTCAGTGAAATTCCTGTAACAGTAGGTACACACTGGCAGCAGTAGTACTATTCTGCTTGATAAACCTGTGCCCTTGAAGTCTCCTGCATCCCTTTCTTGTCAGACTGGTAAAGTCATGCTGCTTTTATGAATTCTTGGTGGGAGTGGTCAATACCAAATTGAATAATTCCCTTTTGAATTATATCTTTAACAAAACAATCCTTGAAGAGGCCGGCTAGGTTTCGGATGGGTGCACAGGAAGAAAAGGGTATGAAAGAAATTCCTCCTCCACTGCATGGCTGGAGAAGAGACAGTACTTGGAGCATTCTCTGTGGTTGCCACTTCTACTGCCTCAGCAGGGTGGGAAAGGACAGACTTGCACAGAGTTGTCCTCCATTGCTGTCCTGCCCCCCACACGGCCCTCTGAGCAGCATGGCAGGAAGAAGTCAGTGTCGTGGGTCTCTGCACCACTGGGACACAACTTGCACCTTGGCCAACAGTGCCCCAACGCTGCTTCTGTGTGACAAAATCACACTGCCTGGTGCCTCCAAAATTGGAACCGAGAGTCTGGGCCCCTTGGTGCATGTCAGCAGCAAATTCACTCTTTTTCATTTCCTTGTCATCAGAGTTAAGTTATGTCAGTTCATGTTCTCTAGAGCAGTTCGAATTCAATTTAGCTGGTGATTAAGTTACTTTGTTCGAGTGAATTGGATGCTGGTAGGAATGTTTGTTCAAAGGGTTAACTTAACCTTCCCCAAGGTTGTAACGGACACTGGAAGATCAAAAGCACCTCCAAACTCCCAGAGAAAAAAAAAAAAAAAAGGAAAAAAAAGAAAAGAATTGCTTACTTTTACAGTTTTCAGTCAATGTCTTCCCTCTGGAAAAAAAGTCTTGTGTTTAACATACTTAGACTCATGGTACAAACGATTCATTTTGTCTCTAATCGTAAACATAATTTGTCTGGTGTTTCAGTTCTTTAGATTTATGCAGTAGCCATGTTTGTCAAAGTATTTGGCACCAGTGACATCATCTTTGTTGAAATGCCGGACAGCGTGATGAGTCCCAGATGTTAACGCACACCGAATGAGAAAAAATAAAATACAAAGATCAACTGTAAGAGCTATGGAGGTAATAAAAAGTGATTCTGTTTTCTTCCAGTATTCAAAGATAATTATTTGTATTTGTTGAAGTTTGTTTTGCATAAATGATCAATCAGGGACTGTGTTTAATACTCTGCATGTGCAATATAAGGGAGACTGAGATGTGAATTTGGATGAACACTGAATAAAGCATGATTTGACTTCATGATTGCACTATTTCCTTTGTTTTTTTTCCAGTCTTTTACACTTTGCATGTGTAGATTACAATATATGCAGAGTATGTATGCTGAGAACCAAATGTGCCTCTTTCCAAACTGCCAGGATTTAACGTGTCATTTGGATAATGGTCATGCATGGTTATGTCAGCACATCATGTTTTCTAATGTACTATAACATGACATGCCAACGTAACCATGAGTAGCACCATTTCCTAATGACATGTCATGTCCATGAAATGTAAAAAGGATGTGACCTGCTGAGAATCTGGCTTGAAAATGTTTTTTTTTTTTTAATTTTAAAATAAAATTGCTGTGTGCGCAGTATGTCCATTTCCAAAAGGTTTTTCCATAAAAGTATGGTTTAGGTGCTTTAAGGGAAAAAATCATAAAGATCATGCTTTCATATTGACTGCATATCTACCCAAGTGTTACGTGTTGCCTACATATGGTAAAGAAAGCATTAACAAATAATATATCCATCCATCTAGAGCATCCTTAATACTACATGAGCCTGGCCTGACTAATATTTTCATGGAAAATGAGGCAGAAGTACTCCCTTACTTTCACACCAACAATGAAAACTCTCTTTAGATCATTCCGTTGTCTAGACAGTGTTGACTGTCACAAAGAATTCCCATATCCACAGTCAAAAAATTAACTTGGAAAATGCATACCTAGTTGTCAAATTTGTTTCCTTAATTTACTGCAGTAGTTCTCCAGGCATAATAGACATAAGACAAATTGTGTTAAAGCCATGGGGAGAAAAAGGAAATTTAGACTTTTCATATTGGTGGATTGTATCCTATAAAGATGAATAATCAGTTGAATGTATAATGCATCTGTCACTGTCTTTTCTTAAAAGACTTCACATCAGAAAAAAAATACAGCAATGCACCAAAATATAACGTTGTTTCAGTTCTTCTTAGTAGGTTATTCCTGATCTGTTTATTTGCAGTGAAAGTTTTGAAAATAGTTGGCATTAGTCTCAATACATGTTTTCTAAAACTTGAAAGTAGAGGAAGTGGTGATGAGGTCTGTGGTGTTGGTTGGTGGTGCAGTTTTCACTGTGCTGCTTGGTTTCGGGTCGACCAGATGACATGGACATTGCTAAGTACGTGGGATTTATTTTGAAATTGTTCGGATTTCTCTTACCTTTTCTTTCACATTGCATGGTAATAAACACTAAAAAACAGATCAACTAATATTGTTCTTTATGTTTATAGGACTGTACTTAGTTTACATTCGGATGTTGACACATGAAGAAAATGGATTTTCGTCAAGGGCTCCTAAAGCTGTTAAAACTTACAGGTAAGTCTTTCAGATACCCTTACAAAACCCAACATGTCTACAGGATTTTGCTAGATCTCATTTTCAAAAGCACTTATGTTATTTAGGGGTCTAATTCACAGTTCTGAAAGCAGCTTGGATGCTTAGTATATTAGATCTCACTGACCTTCAAAGGGACATCTAAGCGTTTATGGTCAGATACTGAATGTAAGAGGAGCCTAGTAGGATTTTTTTGTAGCGTTTCATCACCTCGCTCCCTTTGAAATCACTTTAAACATTTTCCTTCAATTTAAAAAATGGGGCACGGATTTCTAAATCATATGTGTACTTATGAAAATATTACCTGTAATTTATTTAAACCTTGTGAATACCTCAGAAAAAAGGGGTGTTGTGGATATAGTCCTTTAATAGAAAATGCGTTCTGTGAATTTCGGGACAAATCCTGGGTTTTGTCACTAATGTGTCATTTTAGTCATTACTTTCTGAGTTGTATCATCAGAAATCTGGGTCACATAGGCCATACTTAAATTACATATCAGATGACCCAAATGTTTAAGGCAAACTGGTGTAATTCAGCATCACTTTAAGCAATTTATGCCACTGAAGATCAAGCCCCTCAAAGTCCAGCATCTTCCTGAGTGGAATTACTTCACCTTCTCAAGTCTTTTCTTACATCTTCTCATATTAGTCAGGACCCCCTACCTTCCCATCCCTGGCTTATCTGACTGGCTTGTGGTATTGATGCAATTACTGTCTCTGTACACGCTCTATTATTAGTCTTAAAAACAAAAATTTCACCTCTCTGTACACTATTATTAGTCTTAAAAACAAAAATTTCACCTGAAACACAAACATACCTGTTATAGATAGTGTGTGGAAATACTGAAAGAGAAAATCTTGTGGGGGAAGAAAAAAAGGGAACTTAGCTGAGGAATGAGCATAATGTACTTGTTTGTTGCATACAGTTATGGTAATACAGTATCCTATCATGCAATAAAATATCACACAACATAATATATCTTTTGTATGCTTTAATGTCAGTTTTATTTGCTGAACAATTATTAGGTGTGCAAGCAGAATAGTTACCTTCACCAGCTCTGCTTTGCTTTTTTTCATTCTTCCATCCATTTTCCAGCTGACATTTCCTTTCCTTTCCATGCTTGTGGGCCAGAAAAGGCATGATACTGCACGCTGACAAATGTGTGCTAAGGTGATTAAAAGTCATGTTCAGAGCTATTGATTACACACCCAGTGACTTCTTGTGGGGCCACTGTATTTGTGCCAAACTGTGTTATCAGACTCTTGGTGAGCACAGATTTAGTGCAACGGGTTTTCATTGGTTCTGTTTAAAATACATGGAAAAGCATTTGCCAGAAGCCCTGCACGTGATGTTGAGCACAGACTTTGCAGCTGTCTCTGTAATTCTTAGAAAGGTGAAAAAGCAATGACTTAATGCTCTATACCACCCAAGTCTGATTTTTTTTGTCTAAGGTCACCTTATATTTGTAGATCTTGGAAAATTATCATGAATATTTATGATGGCATCAAAAAATCAAGCAGCTGCAAATTGTTTACAGCATTTTTAAGAATATGAAACCAGCTTCTACAATAAATCAAATACATCTGTTAGAACTGGACAAAAATTGAAAGCTCTTTGGTTTCATCCTACCCTCTTATATACCCGAAAGTTGAAAAATTGTCAATAGCACAATTTTTAAACACTAATGTGGGCTGTATAGATAAAAGGTAAAACCTGAACAAAAGTACCAGATTAATCATTCTAAAGATTGCACATGAAAGTACTTTAATTAAATATTAATTTGAAATAGATGCCATAAAACTTTGTGGATACTTCCAAAATGTAGAATTGCAGTCTGCCTAAAATTTTATCTGCTTTTGCTTTTTCCCTACATTTAGAAAAATATATTCTTCCATAATACAGCAACTCAGATGGGCATATTTGAAAAATTGCACATTAAAAATGTGTGCAATATTGGCCTCAAACATTTCTTGGATTTTTCTTCTACAGAACCATGATTTATAATCTGCCACTAATTTAATAGCTGGCTGGAGACATACTTCAAGAGAAATAGCACTATCTATGTTTAGGCAGAAGTAATCAATTCTAAATCTTGGCACTGCTGTAAGTTGGTATTTAGATTGCATTTATCTTATGAAAACATCAAAACATTTGGTTTTGTTCAAACTGGAGGAATAAGGTGTGTATTTTAGATGAGACACACTTCTTGCCTAAAAATGTGTACCTTACGTGAAAGGGGAAAACTGTGCATCTCTTAGGACTATGGTTTTAAAACTTTTTCTTGCCAAGTACTGCCATCAGCAGCAGTGGTGACCTGAGCCTCAGCCTGCAGCTCTACACGGGCTCACGTGTCACGGCGCAGACACTTGCGTATCACTTGTGGTATGTGGCTTGCAATTTGGGAATGCCTGTATTGGAGCTCTTAATCCATTTAAATACAACTGTGCTAATAGATAAAGGATCTGATTTAGAGGCTAGAGTTTCATTTCCCCTCTCTTTAGGAAGTTTCATATTTTGTCTGTTTGGTTTCTCCAGTTCTTCCTACCAGGTAAATGCTACTTATACTGTCCCTCAGTTTTTTTACTGACATGTTTTTGACTGGGGAAGCATGTGGGATTTCAGGGTCTCCCTACTTCATGTTTTAAAGATAATTCAAAGACCTCTATGGTCAGAGGTACCCCTCCACTTTACAGGAGGATCTTTTTCACCTGCGATATAGTTCTCTCCGTTCAATAAGCTGAACAATAAACCCTGTCTCTTTTTCTGCTGGCCAGTGTTACAGACTGTCACAGGCTCTCAGTCCCTGAGCAGCATTGCATTACAATTCAGTAAAGTTCCCACAACCAGCGTGCAAGACTTCATCAGAAGGCAAAATGCTAGTCTGAGAGGATAATGACTATGAGACATTCTTTTAATAAGGACCATTTTTAAATGTTAAGAATGACTTGTTTTAATTGAAGGAGAGGAAAGGAACTCCTACCAAGAGTCAAAGAGATCCCCCAGAGCTCTCTGAAGTCTTCAAATTGTCTTGGATAGAAATGCCTGAGAATCAGAAATCAACAGAGGTTGTAAAAAATTTCCAACCATCTTACTGTAAAGTTCGTCTGATTAGGTTATTGTCTTCTGCAGTTAAAATTTTGGCTTTAGCTTAAAATAAGGTGTCTGACCATCCTAGTTACTGAAGGCAAATCATGAGACTCATTTTATAGACCAAACTTTTGCTGAGTTTGTGTAAGCAGGGATGCAGAACAATTACCATTCAAACCATTCTTTTCAATCTACTATACAATATCCACCTGTTCTGTCAGACAGCAGGAATGTATGCTGCAAATACAGACTACTGCCGTGACAGCAGCAGGTGTATGGCAGCAACAACTAATCAAATCAGCTGAATCGGAGGTGTGAATCACATTGCACTTGTGTGCAATGAAAACGAGCAGAAAGGAGAGAGCTAAATGGTTGTGAATTTTTGTTTTATTTTTAAGAACTTTCTTTAAAGGGTAGGCAGAACAACTGGTAAGTACAAGAAAAAGTAATGAGGAATTGAAAACAAAATGACATTTCATCCTTGCTGCAAAGGACAGGCAGAGTGAGATAGGTACAGGAGGCACCCATTGTAATCACTCTGAAAAAAGCAAAGCATGGGTTTTGATTTTCCTAAAGAAGCAAATGCAAAAGAACTCTTGTCTGTACTATATGACTCATGATGCTTCTTTACTAGGCTTAAAGAGAATTGAACTTGAGTAATAGCACCATTAGAGCTCTTTACCAGGAGCTAGTTCCTGTGGTTTCACTGGGTCCAGCTGCTGATGACTCACAGAGGAAGTGGCAGAGATTAGGTGCACAGGGAAAAAATCAGAACAGCTCAGAAATAAAGCAAATCAACCAAGCATTACCTTTTGTGCACAACAGAACAATGGCTTAACAACTAAGGTTCAAAATGATCCGTCTTATTCCCCTCATTTGTGCTATTCCTGTTGGAAAGACCACCAGGAAACATGTGAACCACTGTGGAATACACACTGTAATCCATGGAACATCTCAATTAATATTCCCTCTTGACTACAGCTAGAACAATACATAGCATCAAGCAGTTTAATCTCCGGCAATAATGCCTTTTGTAAGATCAAGAGGTCTTTCCCTTGAATTAAGGTTTAAGCGAGGATTTTGAAAATTAGTTTGGTATTCTGCATAATGTATAGTGCTGGCTATAGGTTCCATAAGTAGTAGCTAGGTAAAATGCATAGACACAGGCTGGTTGTCATTAAAAATGTTGTTATTAGTAATTTCCCCTTTGCAGATTGACATTGGGTTCCCTGTAGAAGAGAGTAAATCCTCCAACAGACTTTGTTAGAAGCACATATATCCAAGCTTGTATAAAATTTAAAATACTGCTTCTAATATTCAGTTTTATGCTACAAAGAAAGTATGTCCCCAGCAGCAGAAAGTTAAAATATCTGCCTTAAAAGGGGGAAGAAGATACAGGGAAAAACATTCTGGATCTTGTTTAAATTACTAATGTACAGTAGTAGTGCTACTGTTGGCTCACATCACTACGGTCTTGGACACATAGCTCAGGGGATGTTTTCTTCATGGAAATTGCAAACAGTTTGGGCTCTGAACTCCTTGGGGAGGAGTCCTATCTGAGTTGCTGTAGATTGATAAAGGAGCTTATTATAAAAACATAAGACTATTTTGACTAGATTATACCATTTCTTTAAAAAATATTTGAAAATATGATATACTAAGAGCACCCTGGAAAAATATCATTGCAAATTTTGCTAGGTCAGCTATTTATCCTTGTTTTAAAAATAAATTGGAGTAGACAATTTAACCCACCTTCCACTTTCTCCTAAGAATTTCAGAGGTAAGATCAGTTAGTGATTATACACAGAGATGCATTTTATAAACATTTGCTTTAGTGATTAATGTAAAACTATTCACAACCATCTCTTTGGAATATTAAGTAACGCACTTTGCT